ACTAAGTTTTAATTATCTTATTTTATTTTGGCTCAGTAGTAATTATCCCTGAAAGAGTTACGAAATAATAATCGGGGTTACTCATTGACCCCACATATGCAATTTCTGTAAAAGCAAATCTCATACAAACAAACATTCACTTTAACAAGCCAGAAAATAAAAATTTCAACAATCACGCGAGCTCTCCAAAATTTTGCAAGTATTGCAAAAAATCAGGACATCTTATAGCCGATTGCTATAAAAGGAAGAACCGAAATTGTAACAATAATAATAACAAACCTAGTGATCAAACTTTGCACGCTTTTCCAGTAGATTCACGAGCATTTCCAGTAGAGTCAGAATCTTTAAACCCACAAAGTTCCCAGAACGACGTCGTTTCTTGGGAATGGCAATAAACAAAATCGGCGAAAAGAAAATCTGTAGTATTTTAAAACCTATACCAAAGATTAAATCACGTCTTATTAATAATTATAAAATATTCTTAACTAATGATGATAAAAATCCATACCTTGTTACGTGCAAATATTTTGCCGTAAACCTGTTAATTTGTTTTCGACCTCGGTATGCGTGTGCAAGTTATTTGCCAAGCATATCTGTTTTGGTTTTTTTCATCATAGAGTTAAATTTTGGCTGTAAAATCCGAATCTAGCAAATTTGGCGATTCTTATCGCAGTTTCGATTCTTATCGAAGGTGAAAGAAATGTTTGGTAGATTGCGGGATCACGTGTCCGTTAGGGCCAATGAATTTGGTGATTTTCGATTCCTGCGCCAACGGAAGGTTGGGGGGAGGAAAAACTTCTACTGGTGTAACGGTAGATTTTTGGTGGTGGAAGATTTTTTTTTAGGCCGTGACGATCAGATCGGGAGAGGTCGATTTTTGAGTTTGTTCCGCACGGTCGGGCTTTGAGATTTTCATTGTGTTCAGCGCTACCGCATGGTCGGTTTTTAACAAATTTTAGAATCAAGAAATGTATTGATGGTGGCATTGATGGATTGATGGTTTGCAAGAGGCCTTTCTTTCCACTGGGAAAAGTAAACATCTAATCGGCGAGTTGAAATTTTTGAGACCCAAGAACCAGATAGACGAATCCATGATGTCCGTTATGACCACGTGGAATTGATCCGAGATCCGTGGAGCAATTCAAAACCAGCTCGTTTGGGGAACCTCAGCGGGACCGTTGGATTTTTGACGTGGAGGCTGGTTCTGGTGTTTTCTATTTTGGGTAGAAGTTGTATGCTACTTGGAAGCATGCTGACGACCAACTTTTGGTGAAGACTTTTGTTTTTTTTTATCAGTTTTTTTATAACAGTATTTTTTTTTATGATTGGAATGAATAACGTTTTATAGTTAACTGCTTGTGCTGAAACATTCAAGTTCGACTGCATTCAGTTCATTTTGTTTCTTTTTACTTTAATTGCGATTCACAGTCGGACCTGAGTGATTTCCTTATTTATTTTGGTACCCCTTTACTGTGAATTTTTTTTTTATTTATGATCACGACCGATCCCCATTGGAAGACCTGCGAGGGCACTGACTGAAGTGAACACTCCAGCGGGTCCCCCTCAGGATCCTTCCCCTTCACCATCCAGGCTTGATTCAAGTTAAGGTATCCATAGATTAAGGGTGCTACCAAAAATATCCGAGTGATACACTCTAAGTAAATTTATATATTTTTTTTACCTTTATTACTCTCAGTAAAATTGTTAAATTGCTCAAATACATTAGTTGTGCTGTTGAATTTGAGTGTGCATAATTTTGTATTGTCCATTGAGCGTTCCAAAAATTGTTCACTAGCCGCAAAATACTAGCTTTTGCTCTCACTCACGCCCGAGATAAAATAAATATAGTTGGAAGTAAAATTCATAACAACCTGCATTCTTATATCAATGGTCAATCATTTCGATTTCTAATATATACGGGTGCATCAGTATCCCTTTTAAAAGAAAATATAAACATTCTAAAATTTAATAGTCGATCAAGAGGATAAAATCCTACTTAATGGGTTAAGCCCAAACTCTCCAGTAGAAACTATAGGTAGTTGCTCAGTTAACCGCGATGTTATGAACAATGAATTACCTATAAAATTCTACATAGTCTACCAAAACAGTAATATACCCTATGATGGTATCATCGGGAATGACTTTCTATCAGCCCAAGGCGCTATTATCGACCTAACTAATTGTGAGCTCAAACTCAAATCTCTATTGAATCCAATAAAAATTGCTCACCTAAATAAGAAAGAAGATTTCATTGAAGAATCATTCATTATTCAGCCTAGAAGCGAAACAATAATTGAAATCGAAATAATTAATAAAGAAATGACCACAGGTATTTGCCCTGAAATAAAAATTACGAATGGAATTTATTTAGCAAGATCATTAGTATCAGTAAAGAATGGCAAAGCCGTCACCACGATCTTAAATACTACAGAAAAACCTATAAAAATTAAAAAAATCAAATTAAATCTATCAAATCAAATTCAAGAATTCTAGTCACTAAAAAGAAAGACGAAATAAATATCTCCAAAAGACTCAAAACTCTTAAAGAAAACTTACGTTTAAATCATTTAAATTTAGAAGAAAAACATTCAATTCAAAGTCTTTGTTCCGAATTTAATGACATATTTTATTTACCTGATGACATTTTAAGCACCACAGATTTGCTTAAGCACGAAATTACTGTGTCAGATAAAACTCCTATAACTTCCAAAATTTACAGATTTCCTGAAATCCATAAAAAAGAATTAAATAAACAAATCGCTAAAATGCTTCAACAAGGAATAATAAGGGAATCAATTTCACCATACAATAGTCCTTTATGGATAGTTCCTAAAAAATTAGACGCATCTGACGAACGAAAATGCGAATTGTAGTAGATTATAGAAAATTTAATGATGTAACCATCTTCAACGCTACTCTTTTGCCTAATATCGAGGACATTCTTACATTCTTGATCAACTTGGTCATTCTAAATATTTCACAACTCTTGACTTAGCATCCGGATTTCACCAAATTAAAATGGCAGAAGCCGACATTCCTAAAACGGCATTTTCTACCCCTAATGGTCATTATGAATATCTTCGCATGCCCTTTGGCTTAAAAAATGCTCCTAGTACCTTTAAACGTCTTATGAATATTGCTTTAACTGGCTTCCAAGGATTACAATGCTTCGTATATTTGGATAGCAAAATTCCGAAACGTATTCGAACGCTTACGTTCAAACAATCTCCCCTTCCAACCAGATAAATGCGAATTTAGTAGTCTATCTAGGTCATGTCATAAATGAACATGGAATCCTTCCGAATCCAGACAAAACTAAAGCTTGAAAGACTATCCCGTACCCAAAAATCCGAAACAAATCAAACAATTCCTAGGATTAATCGGTTATTATCGAAGATTTATCAAAGATTTTTCCAAGATTGCTAAGCCCCTAACTAATCTTCTTAAGAAAGATACTCCTTATAACTGGTCTGAGGAACATTCTAATTAGTTCAATCATTTCAAAAACATTCTAATGTTAAACCCCATACTTCAATACCCAGATTTTTCACAATATTTTATACTAACTACCGACGCATCTAATTATGCGATTGGCGCTGTTCTTTCCCAAGGCGAAGTAGGAAAAGATCTTCCAATTTCCTATGCTTCTCGTACCCTAAATAAAGCTGAAACAAATTATTCAGTAGTCGAGAAAGAACTCCTTGCTATTGTTTGGGCAACTAAATATTTTCGTCCTTATTTATATGGTAGAAAATTCACTATTTTAACAGACCACCGTCCTTTAACCTGGTTATTTAAAACTTGACGACACCTATGAAATAAAATACAAACCCGGAAGAATAAATTCTAATGTTGACGCACTTTCACGAAATCCAACAAACTCTATTAATCTAATCAAATCATGCTTTCCAATCAACGCAGAATCGTATGAAGAATTTATAAAATTCCATTATCAAACTACAAAAATCCCTAATATTGAAATCATGAAAGAAACCCTATTTTCGAAATTTCCTAATGCCATTATTTACTCTAAAGATCTAGATGAAAATAATCCCTGTTCTGAAAATCTCGCATGTCATTTCGACCTGAACAAACTAAACCCTGACAAAATAAACCTATATGACGCAATACTATTAGAAAATAATAACAAACATGCATTTCTTTTAATAACAAAACTAAATCATTTCGATAAACTTACCTATAATGATTTATTCTATTCTTTACAAAATTTAAGAATCTTACTCATTAAAAAGAAAATTAAACTTCTTCACGTGAATAATCCCATTGAGAATAATCCAAACATAAAGCAAGAAATGTTTAATGAAATGCTAAACTTTTTATTTTCGAAATATAAAATACAAATTATTCTAGTCAATAAACCAAGATATAAACCTGAAAATCGAGACAAAATTCAGAATATATTTCAAGAAAACCACACCTCTGCAATTTCGGGACATTCTGGTTTCCTTCGCACTTATAAAAGGATCAAAGAAAATTATAAGAGGCCTAATATGAAAAATGATATTAAAAAATGTATAAAAAATTGTAAATCTTGTCAACTAAATAAATTAAACAACAAAACTAGCAAAGCTCCAATGGAAATCACCACAACTAGCGAAAGACCTTTCCAACGATTAGCTCTCGACATAGTAGGCCCCTTGCCTATCACTGAGTCCGGAAATCGTTTTATCCTTACAATGCAAGACGATTTAACAAAATATTCTTACGCTATTCCAACTGTTAACCATGAAGCAAAAACAATTGCCGATAATTTACTCCAATTCATTTGTCTATTTGGCATTCCAGAAACGATACTATCCGATCGAGGAACCGCCTTCACCTCGAATCTTATAAAAGAACTGAACAAGTTATTTAAAATCAAACATATCCTTTCAAGCCCTTACCACCCACAAACCAATGGTGCGCCAGAAAGATTCAACCTTACACTAAAGGACTACTTAAAACATTATACCAATTCTCAACAAAACGATTGGGATGAATATGTCTTTTTAGCAATGTTTACTTATAATACACATTTCCATAAATCTACCAAATATAGCCCTTTTGAATTACTTTTTGGACATAAAGCCGCAATTCCAAATTATCTTACTTCAAAACCAGAATTTAAGTATACATATGATGATTATTATTCACAATTAAAACTTAAAATGAATAAAAGTTTTGAGATTGCTAGAGAAAACATTATTAAATCTAAAGAAATTTCAAAAAATTATTACGATAGGAAAATCCATCAAAATCCATTCAAAGAAGGAGAATTAGTCTATATTCAAAATAAAGCAAATAAAATAGGACTGACAAAAAAACTCTCTCCTCTTTATAAAGGTCCTTTCAAAATAGTTCAAATCAATCCAAATCAAACAGTCAAATTACTTTGAAATAATAATGAAACCGCTGTTTATCATCATCACTTACTGAAGCCTTTTTTTTTTTAGATGAGACTATTAACTACATTAATCTTCATTCTGATTTCCAGATCAATTTTAACTGAGTCACCATACTCAATAGACTATGTCAGCGACCGGTCAGGAATCTTTTTCCACGACATCGAAAAAACTCGAATAACTCACGATCAATTTACTCTGCTATCCTTCACGAACATTAGCATTTATGAAGAGAAATTAAAGCTAACTTCCAAAATCTACCAATCTTCATTACCGTTATGCAACAACCTTAAAAAAAAAATAAAACTAATAAACATTTAGAGTTTACCCGTCAGGAAACATTACAACTAATTTCGAAAAAAATCAAGATTATAAATGAAAAATTCGACTCTATTTGTCATCTAACAGGTCATACAACCGATATTCTCTCAAGATCCAAACGAGGTCTCTTTAACGGCGTTTCATATGCAATCAAGTGGGTTTTCGGCACTCCAGACGCGGATGATGCACAATATTATACAGAAGCAATTCAAAATATCGTTAAGCAAACTGAAGATACGCATTCATTACTCAAACAACAAGTTTATATTATTTCAGATGCAATAAATGATTATAATAAAACGGCAATATCAGTGATTAATTACCAAAATACACTAAATAAAAATGTAAAAAAAATCAATAAATTTGCAAACTCAACAATTAAACGTATAAATACTCTAACCTTTGCTCAGAGAGTAACTGATCATCTTAATCTATTAACACAATTAATAAATGAATTAAAAGAAGAATTCGATACTACCACATCTGCAATTCCGATTGCTAAACAAAATGTTATTCACCCTACAGTCATCTCTCCTCGACACTTGCGAGAAGAATTGTCAAAAGTAAAAATAAATTCAAATCTAGAATTCCCTTTTGAACCAGAAAACTTAGATAACGCATATAAATATCATGACATATGTGCACTATCAGTAATCTATGCAAATAAAATTCTCATTTTTGCAATTCACGTTCCACTAGTAACCAAAGAAGTATACCAAATGTACAACCTCATTCCCTTACCTGTCCAATTTTTTTTTTTTTTT